TTAGTAGAGACGGGGTTTCACCATGTTGACCAGGATGGTCTCAATCTCTTGACCTCGTGATCCACCCGCCTCGGCCTCCCAAAGTGCTGGGATTACAGGCTTGAGCCACCGCGCCCGGCCTTCAGTTCCACAACTCTAACGTGGCAGCCACCACAGCGTTCCTACAGCCAGCCAGAGATGCCTGCTGAGTTACTCCTCGCCACTGTGGAGTGTCTCCCAGGATGCTACAGATCCCACCATCCTTTTTTTTTTTGAAATGGAGTCTCATTTTTGTCGTCCAGGCTGGAATGCAATGGCACAATCTCAGCTCAATGCAACCTCCGCCTCCTGGGTTCAAGCAATTCTCCTGCCTCAGCCTTCTGAGTAGCTGGGATTACAGGCACCCACAGCCACGCCCAGCTAATTTTTGTATTTTTAGTAGAGACAGGGTTTCTCCATGTTGGCCAGGTTGGTCTCAAACTCCTGACCTCAAGTTATCCACCTGCCTCAGCCTCAAAAACTGCTAGGATTACAGGCATAGCCATCACACCGAGCCCCACCTTCCCTACCACTCCATACCAGCCACCTGACCCATTCCTCACCCATCTCTGAGGACTGGATGCCCTAGGGCACAGTCTTCACACCTCTTCCCTGCCCTCACCTTTTCTCTTGATCACTTCATGCAGCCTCATAGTTTTCATCTATAAATCATCCATAGGCCAAGGACTCCAAAAACTTGTATCTCCAGCCTGAACTTACACCTTCAACTCCAGACTCAATGACCAAGCGTCTGCTCTTTACCATCTGAGCAGTAGTAGTCAAATGTAACACATCCAAAAGTAGTCCTCAAAGCCTTCTCTCTCTCCCCAGTCTCCATTCTGCCACGACACTTCCACCCTTGAGGTATTCTTGACACTTCTCTTACATTCCACATTCAAGAGGGGAAAAACATTATTGGCTTTACCTCCAAAACACCGCTAAAATCGACTTCCCCCCAGCCTCTGTTACTGCTACACTGGACCCAAGCCACCACCATCCTTCACTTCAAAAGAACTCAGCTCCCAGAGCAGCAAGGGCGCCTGTCCAAACCTAAGTCAGATCTTGCCACTGCTCTGCACAAAACCTTACAGTAGCTCCCGTCTCACTCAAAATTAAAGCCAAAGGCCCGACAAAGGCACCAAAGCCCTACAGATCTGAGCCCCACCATGTCTCTGGCCTCACTTCTTACAGCTCTGATCCAAGCACACTGACCTCACTCACCTGCTCGGGTCTTCACTCAAATGCCTGCTGCCTCCTAAGGTCTCCCGGCTGTGCTATGTAAAATTACCACCTCACCCAGGCCCCTTTAGTCCCCTTTTTCTGCTTCATTTTTCTCCATTGCACTTATCACCTTCAAATATACTCTATAATTTATTTATAGCATTTGGTTACTGTCTGTCTCTCATAGCTCCACACCCAAGAATCCAGGCTCTATAAAGGCAGGGCATTTTTGTTTTGTTCAGGATAAATTCCCATTGACCTATGCTAGATGTGCAATAAATATTTGTCGAACGAATGAATAAATGAATGAATGGGAAGAACAAAAAAATACAAACTTCAGAAATACTGAACTCTGCCTCAGTCGGCAAATTCAAAATCCCTTACAAATTTTGTAAGGCTCAGAATCATTTCCTTTTACATTTTTCTTTACCTTTAAACCCTAGAGTTCCAAAACTTACCACAGCATAGGAGAAGAGGAAAATGGTATCCAGGGTTCCGAGGAAAAGAGTCGCTTTCTCTGAACTGGGGAACAAATGGTTGCGGCTCCAGATCTACAGTAAGACACAGGAACAGGTCAGCTCCTGTGGGATCTGCTAGGGTTTTCTGTTTCTCAAAACCCCTTCACAAATACTGCCAAAACACCACTCATGCTCAAGACCAACTTTTACTTCTGATGCAATTAGAAATAACTGGTACCTATTTTTTGGCTTTTATTATTTTTAATTGACAAAATAATTGTACATATTGAGGGAGTACAGTGTGATATTACAACATATATTCAATGTGGGATGATCAAATCGGGGCAATTAACCTATCACCTCCAACATGTATCATTGGAATACTCCAACGTTAGTGACTAAGTCAATTCAGTGAGAAAGTGGGGCAGTAAGTTTAAAAGCAGACATTTAGAAGAAATAAATTCTGATTATAATCTTTGTGTTTGGCAGAATTCAATATCCAATCAATTAGCAATTATGTCTACCATCTAGGGCCATACCAACCTGAAAGCTCGCAATCTCATCTGATATAGAAAGTTAAGTGGGGTCAGGCCTGGTTAGTACTTGGATGGGAGAAATTATGTCTAACTCCATCTAAGGAAACACTTTACAGTACTCTTCAAAAATAATTTCCTAAACTCATTGGTTGCCTAGGGCTGAGGAAAGCAAGAAGGGGTGACTAAAAAGGGGTGCAAGAGAATCTGGGGAGCGATGTTCTATATCTTGACTGGGAATAGTTAGAACACTGTATGTGTTTGTCAAAATTTGTAGAACTATACACTAAAAAGGTAATTAAAAATCACATCTTAATTTTTAAAATGAAAAGAAGTATCTTTCATTAACCACTTCAATCAAATCACAATGTCTTGCCAACTTTATTATCCTTCTAGTCTGGTACTCAGAAAACTTAACTGTAGTCCTAAGTATTTGTTGCCCTTAAGAGGCCACTTATCCCAATACTTCTGAGCTTCTTCATAGGCATATATAGAAAACGATCTTTGTACAACACACTGGGGTGAACTGAAGAAGCTGTTCAAGGTCAGAGTTGATTAGCCTGGGAATATCGACCAGCCTAAAATCAGGACGAGGCCATCGCAAGCCCCACCTGGCAACCCCAGGAGCGTAGGGAAGGGATATCACAGCCCACCTACAACCCATTCATGACAAAGCAGCTGCGCAGCTCTCACAACTCCTCAGTGGCCTGTTGACAGAACCATGAAACGAGTTAGGTTCTATTTGTTTTTTGGTTTTTTTTTTTTTTT